TAGTAAATGCTGTTTGTGAATTGTTTAGCGTTAAGCATAAATTAACAAATTCGTATCATCCTTCTACAAACGGTTCTTGTGAAAGAAGAAATAGGGACATTGAAAAGGCCTTAAGAGCTTATTGCAACGAGAAACAGACTAACTGGGCATCCATTTTATCATCCATTATGATGTCATTTAGATCAACGCCATCTAAAACCACAGAAATTTCCCCGCATAAACTTATATTTGGCAGAGAAATGTTGATACCATTCGACACAGAATTAGTTCCAAAAGAATCAATCAACAAAAATGCTCAGGCTTATCTCAAGGATCTCATAGAGAAATTAAAACTATCGAGAGACATAGCTGAAGAAAATATAAAGGTTGCACAACAACGAAACAAGGAACATTATGATAAAAATACCCACAAACCGGATTTTGAAATAGGAGACAAGGTTCTCATGACCAACCTGAAGAAAAACAAGGGTCTCTCTCCAAAACTTCAGCCTAAATTTATTGGACCATATTATATTACAGAGTTAGGTCCAAATTTCACCTACAAACTTCGTTCTTGCGAAGACAACAAGGAATGTGGCTCTTTTATAAACGCTAGCCGTTTAAAGAAATTTAGAGAGAGAAACAAGAGTGACAATTCAGCATAAGAACAGAAACAAAACAGCGTCCAAATCGACTCCGATTCCAAGTCGCACGACGACAACATAGTCATAAAGGCAGGTGACTCAAATCAAAATGATGACATCCCGAGAACGACCCAAGATGATGACCCAGCTTATTTTCAAGCCACACAACCAGACACTAATCTTCAAAAATACCTAGATATTGTAAAGATTTTCAGCTGTCGTTACCATCACCAAAAACGACAGTACAAAGTAAAGTTAAGGAACCAGTTAGGCAGAGTATGGTATTCAGAAGAGAAAATTGATCCACAAATTTTAGAGGAATTTCATAAAAAGAATACTTTGACAGGAAAAAGACGAAAGCGTTCAACTAGATCCAGATTGTTATCCAGGCACATTCCATAATAAAAACACATTCTATACTTTTATCACCTACTCTCCCTTTTTTCCTGTGAGTTTACCAAACCTGTGGATACTCTTTCCATGTTATATAGTGCCGAGAGTCAGTTGTTGGTACCCAACTTTCTCCAAACCGGTTTAACTCACAATTCATCTTTCTAAACACTCATCTTTTTTTCTTTTTCTCCTTCTAGGACGACCAAAATGGTTACTACCATTACTATTGTTACTATGCATCCACGCAACTCATTCTTCCAAGGTGATAAATAGAATTAATTACGGAATAGTATTCAAGCCAGCTACGCCTGTTGAAACAATTACATTTGGAGTTAATAACTGGATCCAAACCTTTCAATTTTCCTTACCAGAAGTGCCAATATTCCCTGAAATTGCTCAGTGTCGAAAAGCTAATTCAACGTGTGGATTCATCAACAAAATCTTGAATGAAATTAATCATATAAAAATAAGGACTGCTACTTCAGTAAACAATACTAATAATCATGTGAAAAAGCTAGTGTCAGAATTTACAGAGCCTCCAAGTAGATTCCGAAGGAAAGCTATCTTGGGATTCATAGGGGACATATCAAAATCCCTATTCGGCACAGCGACCGAGGAGGATGTGGACTTACTAAAGAAACACATGTATGCATTAGAGAAACAAAACAAAGTGATGGCTAATGATCTTACGCACCATGCTGACCACTTCTCTTCGTATATGACGACAACAAACAAGAGACTTGACAACGCTATGGAGGGAATAAAACAAAACCACAACGCCATATTATTCGCCACAAAACACATGGACGAAACATACCAAAGTGCGGAAGAAGCCTTTTTAGCGATGTCACATTTACTCACTGATCAAATGGTGCAATCAAGCTCGATTGAGGCGCAGTTAGAAAATTTTAAATTTGGCCTCCAAAGTTTAATTCAAAAACGATTATCTCCACTTATAGTTTCTCCAGAATTATTAACAAAAACTATTCATGGGATTCAGAAACTACTACAGAAGAATTACCCAAATTTTAAGGTACTTGAAACAAATACTCAGTATTACTATTCCACTTCCAAATTCTCCCTATTTCGTAAAAGAAACAATATTTTTATTTCTGTAACTGTACCAATAATTAGTAATACTAATCTAACATTTAACTATAATTTAATTCATAAATGTTCTGGCGATAAGCACTTGTATTGTACGAATAAAATCGCGTTGAGATCAGGAACAATTTCATCTTGTGAATTATCTCTTTTTCTTGATGACAGAACTAATATCAAACGTTTTTGTAATTTTAGATTCAAGTTTAATGCACTTTCAAGTTCAATATTCGAATTACCACCATCTTCTATTATTGTATATAATACACACATGTTAACTTTAAATTGTAATTCAAATCAAAAAATGTTGCAAGGCTGCAAATTTTGTATTATTAAGATTCCTTGCCAATGTTCGGTTTCAACTCAAGGATTGTTTTTGGCTAAAAATTTGGACTCATGTTCGAAATTCAATGATACACAAATAACTAAGCTCCACCCAATTAATTTAGCTTTGCTTCAGCACGTCTTCAGTGAAGATGAAATATCATCTGTAGCGGGTGATACAGTATTCCCACAGCCCCCGAATATCACAAATGTACCTTCCTTCAAACTATACAATCATAAGTTTACGGACATTGTCGCAAATGATAAGCAAGATCATTTAAGTCTTGACAGGATGGTACAAAGTGCAAAAGAGGACAAAATAATTTTCAAGACTTTATCAGAATCAGTCTTGGATGATAATTTAAAATTTCAGTCATCATATTATGACACAAAATCACTCCTATTATATTTGTCCTTGATTGTTTCATTTCTTTCATTCCTGGCATGTTTGTATCTCTTTTGCAAATTACGTACCAACCTAAATCGCCCATATCAGACGATACTATTATTAGTTTTGATTATTGGAATTTGAGTATTGCTGTTTTGTGTATCCTTATACTCATTTTTCTTATATACAAATTTATTTCTAAATCAAGGAAGAACACTTCCATTTTACTAGAGGTTACATCTGGGAAACATTGTGTCACTATTCCCATTGTTTCACTCCCATTATGCCCCCCACATTATCATATTATACACCCATCTATCATTAAGGATTTACACCTATCGATTCGGATTTTTCCTTTTTTATTAATATCTTGGCCAAACTTTCAAATAATTAATAAACTGAATGAACAAACAACTTCAGTAACAAATAAAATCAATATTTCATGGTTTCAAGTTTTTAAATTACGATATATTCTAAAACAACCTTTTAACACGTATATTTTGGTACAGCACCAAAGATTTTTTATATCCACTGTCAAATTTGGCAATAAAATCCGAATCAATATATAACGAATTATAACTTGAGGCATTCCTTCATTAAAATGTGAATTATTGTACATATATATTATATTCATGTTTTATTATTATGTTTTCTTTTATCAAAACATTTATTTTAGAGTATTATCTAGGATACTTGGATTTACCAAGATACTTGTATGTAAATATATATTTTGTTTGAAATTATGAATATTAATTATGATTGCGTATTAATTATCCTTCAGTTTATATATATAACTTTGACATTGATGATCAGTTTATTTTTTTAAAGCTTGTGAGGACACAAAGCTAAAGGAGCAGAGGGAGTAATGTAATAGTTAGTGTTTTATCATATATTTTAAATCTTATAATCCCTATTGTTGTTTTAAAGATTATTCTAAACGCTACCTTAATTAGATGAATTCTGGTATAAGCTGTATTGGAGTATTAGCAAGTATTGTGAGGGCAGCGTATTAAGTTACAAACAATAAACATTAATTAGTGTTTAACTAAATTGGTTGCTATAAACTAGTTGCTAGGAATACATAATGTAGATATAAAAGGGAAGACATCTAGTAGACTCCTCATAAACTTGCTATACATCTAATACAGTGTTTGTTTCCATTTTAAGACTTATAACCAGAGAATTTTAGCTTTTACAATACGACGGCTTCTAATTGTTTAGAAAGTTACCGACATTGATGTGATTAGGCCTACTACTACGAATATTACTCGTATGGCAGAACACAAATGACGAATAAAAATAAAATATAATATTAAGTTACAAGTTTCTGAATTGGCTGATAAAACTTTGATATGACTAAGTGTTTTATGAGTTTAGGTCGGTCACTGCAATTGGTAACACAATATTCGCATGTCGATCTACATGCCCGAACATGCACATTGAGTACACATTGTCAAGTAGCCTATAATGTCCAAGTTGAAGATCAAGCTATAACATAATCATAAAATTCCCAGAAAATCAACACTGAGTAGAATTCTTGGAAAGTAGATGATCATGTTCTGTTTCAAATAACTTATCTAAAAACAAACAAAACAAGCGGTTGCCATGCAAGATACGCCCACATTTTACAAGAGATGGGCAGAAAACAATCTAAATAAAGTGATTTTTCGTAAAATCAGAGGACATAATTAATTACTGAGTAGAATTCTTGGAAAGTAGATGATCATGTTCTGTTTCAAATAACTTATCTAAAAACAAGCGGTTGCCATGCAAGATACGCCCACATTTTACAAGAGATGGGCAGAAAACAATCTAAAAAAAAGCGATTTTTCGTAAAATCAGAGGACATAATTAATTACGGAAGTTAAGGGCGAAGGAGTAGGATCGCCTGCCTAACCTTGTGGGTTACTCCGGTTTCCACTGCTCTAGACCGCTACACGCAAGCTAATTACTGAAATTAAAAAGTACCATACTGGTGCAAGCCTGCGATCAGTGCGATCGAAAAGAAACTTGACTCAAATGACACTGACATAACTTCTGACCATAAAGCGCATGTACATATTACCTAATTCTATGTTTATTTAGTATTATGACAGTTCCTGTGTCGTCTTGAAAACCAGGTAATTTACACATGTATTATTATAAAACAGACAATATGTATGTAATCTTACCTGCAGCTTAGCTTACCGTCTTGAGAACTGTATATATCAACTGTATGTAGTATCGAATATAAACACGTTTCTAGGTCAACCGTGACCACTAGTGATATACAAGTGTAAAGAAGGTTCTGACGAAGACCGCGTGTTAGATAAAAAATTTCCCCTGCTCTGGGTGTAACCTTTCCTGTGTCAAGGCCACAACTTTGGTGGTTCTTGACAATTCCAGAGATAAGAAATGCGTATAGTATAACGAGTGCAAAACAATAGAAGATTTCACGCACTATCGGCACAGTATAGCCATTTTTCAGCTATACATAATAAGTGTTACACTGGATCGATACACAGTGTGTCACATCACTTATTATCCTCCCTAATATCAGACTAGCCATTTTACTTATTATTCCCCTTAGCTATTTCACTTTTTATCCTCCCTAATGTCACACTAGCTATTTCACTTTTTATCCTCCATTTATCAGCCATTTCAGATATTATCCATCTTATTATCGCACTAAATAATATAAAAATATAAAAAATAAAAGTTTAGCAAATTTAAAACAACCACATGTCAGACTAGCCATTTCAATTATTATCGTTAAGGGCATTAAATAAATTGTGTATTATTATTATTATTATTATTATTATATAGCGCTCTGCTTTCGGATGTATTCAGAGATGCTTTACAATATTAAAAATATCATACGTACATATAAATATAAATAAACTATCAAAAATAAAAATAGTTTAGCGAAATTGAAGCAATAACATGAGTAAATGAGACATTAATTTTAAGAGAAAATAAGGCGAGTAAATTGATTTTAGAACAATATTATACGATTAGCTTTCCGAAACAAATAATTTGTGCAGCCGAATAGGTAGAGTTTAAATTCACCCTGGCCCTGGCCCAGTTGCAAGCGACTCCCAATAACTGTGAGGGAGACAGAGGGAGAGTTAGTCATTTTGGGACTAACTCGGAGAAAACCCTAGATTTTGTCACGTACATGCTGGGAATCGAAGCATGCCACTTGACCGAATGACAGAGTTAGAGGACGTAAACCCAATTACAATTTAATTTGCGTTTCATAATAATAATAATAATAATAATAATATCTTTATTTTCAAAGGTGAAAAATTAGGCTTAAAGCCTGTTTACAATTGTGCCCTTTATAACAAAGAAATGAAAAAGACAGTAACAGAACCAGACACTTAACAAATACTCACACACAAAACATTCAAATATATACAGTTTGTGCGAAGGGAAGGATCTTTAACAGTTACAAAATAACCTATTGATATTAAATAAGGGGAATACTCTCAACATACAGATAAACCGGTCTGACCAGCTTATGACTATAGGTATATTGTAACCAAGGCCCTATTATAGGTAATATATACAATCTGGTATCTAAGGCCGTGGGATATCATTAAATATAGGTTCTATAAACATAGCAACCCAACCACACACCCCGAAACAAATGTTGTGGATTTCAACCCAGACTTGTATGTGACCAGTAATATGGTCTACCACTGCCAAACCTCGTGGGTTGTATCCCCCCACCCCCGGTTTCCTCCCGCTTCCAAACCTCGTGGATTTTATTAGGGTCCCTCGGTTTCCTCCCACCGCCAAACCTCATGGGTTTTTATCAGGGTCCCGGGTTTTCCCCCACCGCTAAAGACCCTTACGTGTAAGCGAATTATTGAAAGTGAAACATGTTATTCTCCCCTACATTTCTCCCCTTCATCCCCACCACAATCCCATGCCTATTTTTCCAATTTCAATATATTATTTCATTGTCTGTATATTGAAGGGGGGGGGGGGGGGCGAATGCACGTGTGTGCTGTATCATAAGGTCTGTCATTGAGTCAACTGGCCGGGTCCTCCGGTTTGCTCCCACTGCTAAAGACCCCTACACACAAGCGAATTATTGAAATAAAATTGAACCATGTATGTGTTAGTCTCGAAATGACCTAGTTTGTGTTGAGTGGATGTTAAACCCATTCTATCTCTGTGTATATCGGACCCCGGTCTATTTATCAGCACAATATGATTGGATAAAGCCGAATTCAAATTATTTCAAGGACCTAAGTCCGTAACTCAAAATCCTCCAAAATCCCTGCTAAAGACCCCTACACACAAGCGAATTATTGAAATAAAATTGAACCATGTATGTGTTAGTCTCGAAATGACCTAGTTTGTGTTGAGTGGATGTTAAACCCATTCTATCTCTGTGTATATCGGACCCTGGTCTATTTGTCAGCACTATATGACTGGATAAAGCCAAATTCAAATTATTTCAGAAATCGTGGTTGTATGAATGCGTTGGGTTCAGAACTTAAATCCGTTAAAATACCCCGAAACATGTTAATTCTACTTATATTGTCAGCCATGATGTTGTTACAGTAACAGATTTGATAAACACAACCTTCTTCTACTCTGATCGACAGCAGAAATGGCGAGGAAAAAAAACTGGCGAGACAAACAGGCAGGAAATATTTATTAAAATCTCCAAAAGGGAAATCACCGTCTATTTCTGATTATGACCTAAGCGTTGTAGACTAGGTTATACTGGTCTGAAATCCTGATAAATTCTTGGTAGCAGGTTTCAATGCGGGTACTGATGCGCATCCAGAAGGCAAGGGTGCTACCGAATACACCATACGGTGACGGTAGTGTGTCCATGTAGCCGCCGCGAAATCGGACCCCGTGTGAATTAATCCCGAGTCAGTTTGAACCCCTTGCGAATTTGGGACCCTAATTGGTTTATAACAAATTTCAACTCGCTATTCAGGTGACTTTGTTCTTGGAGGCGTCGCTATCAGATGCTGGTTTCTGAAATGAGGTCACAACCAACAAAAGGTTGAGAAACACTGATCTAACCTATTCTATCAAAGTGATGCTGTATCATCTAACCTATTTACTAACAAATCAGTTTGGTCAGGATTCTATTCATCACAGTACCAAATGATATTTGTATAATTAACAAAGGCTTTCAAACGACAGGAATCGAACGAATGTATAAAAATATGTAAAAACTAGTCAAATAGAGACTAAAATTATTTTTAAAAAAATCAACAGCACAATTGACAGTTTTGCTGTAGGAATAGCCATGTTAAAGTGTCTGTGTGATGGTATGGGTGGGTGCGTGTGTGTGTGTCTGGGTGTGTGTGTGGGGGGGGGGTAGCTGAGACTTTCTTAGAGTATTTTTACCAAAGATCTGTCATCAGAAAAACAAAATCCAGGTAATATAGGACTTGGTTGAACTGAAAATAAATCCTAGGGAAAACCTCTCTATAATTTGTGGTATACGTGAGATTTGCACGTGAACATTAAATAGATTGATTGTTCAACTAAACAAATATATTGAGACGCTTTATTGTGTAGTCACCAATAGATATATTATTATCAATAGAAATCTACACGTCAGAAATTAAAATATTCCTTTCATAATATTTTATATTAAAAACAGGTCACTGGCAACTTGCCAAATATAAAATCGTGGTGGTCGTGTGGTTATATACTAAGCAGCAAAAGAAACGTCAGGTTGGTATGTTACTCTGAATAGACGCATTGCATAAAACTTGCCAAATGTTTTTATTGTATATTGGTGACCACATCTCTAACTTTACCTGAGCAATAAGGCTCCACCCCAAACACAGAATTGAACCCAATAAAATGTTCTCAAAAACGCAATCTGACTTCTGAGATGGTAATGTGTTCTCCATGATTTTCATGTAACTCATGCTGCACGTGCTGTTCGCCGGGACCAGCCCTATAAAATGCACCCCTATACCTGGTTGAAACATTCACACTACAACGTCAGCAGCATGCCACGACTCACGACAGCCCCGAGGAACCAGGCGCTTGGAAGACTTCCAAGCGTTGCCAATCACTTCCAGGCCAATGTTCGGACCATCTACAGGCTTCAGCAACGCTTACGGGTCACCAACACCTCGGATGATCGCCCCAAAACTGGTAAACCATGGGTTACCACAAGGCGACAAGACCACCATGTTGTGCGACAGCACGTGCAGAATCCCTTCACACAGGCATCTGAGTACCGATACATTGCGCCGACGTCTCACCAGAAAGAACATCCATTGCCGTAGACCTTACCGTGAACCGATTCTCACCCGTCGCCATCGACGTGGACGTCTACAGTTTGCCCAACACCACCAGAACTGTTCTGTTCACAGATGAGAGTCGGAATTGCGTATCAACTGCAGATGGCAGGACTAGAATATGGTGTCGACGTGGCCAGCGTTATTCTGACCAATGTGTCATGGAACGAGACTCATGGGGAGGTCCAAACATAATGATGTGGGGTGGAATCGGCCCGAACCAGAGAGTGGGTCCTATGGTGGTCCAGAGGGAGGAGGCGGCATCACAGCAGTGCGCTACATCGATCAAGCTCTCAGACCCCACGTCATACCACATTTCGCACGTCATCGAAACAACGTTTGCAGCATGACAACGCCCATGCCCACACCGCCAGAGTTACTCGGGACTTTCTACAGCAGAACGGTGTCAACGTTATGCACTGCCCAACCTTTAGTCCGGACTTAAACCCGATTGAACATCTTTGGGATGAAATTCAGGGGAGACTTAATAACATCGTACCGAGACCAAACACATCCGATGGATTGCGTCAGGCTTTTCTGAGAGTGTGGTTCCAGGTGTCAATGGCGTTCATTAATCGCCTGGTACACTCCATGTACAGACGGTGCGCTGCTGATATTGACACTCGCGGTGGACACACCAGATACTGATGTATAGACTGTGTACAGACTCTAAACCTTCTCGTAATGTCTAGGAATTGTAATGAATTAATCACTAATGTGTCAACATACTGTTCAGAAAAAATTGCTTTGATCCATTTAGTAAATCGTTTTCTAGAATGATTTGATTTAAGTGCCTCTCTGATTTTGAAATGGTACTGACGTTTTTTGTTTGTTTTTTTTTTTTGTTTTTTTTTAAGTATAGATATAACCTGTCGTGGCCGCTACAACATGTCATAGCCACGGACAGTAGAGCTATGGTCGTTTGGTTATACAACAACCTTTCGCGGAAATGCGTGACTTTTAAAGCTACAAATGACATGGCCACGGAGAACCGTGGTGGGTGTGAGGTTGTTGGTC